GAGGGGATTTCGAATGGAGTTAACGGATAGACAACTATGTCTTCTTTCGTCATTGAAAAACGGGTTGAAAATGACCTGCCTGATTATTATAGAATAGAACACATGAACAGGCTTGAATTGGTAATTCTCGTCAGGCTCGGTGTGAGCTGACTGGCAACTTAGTTACACACACACACACACACACACACACACACACACACACACACACAATGGATCCGGAGTTCAAATCCCGGATAGGACGGTAGAGATGCGGTGCTGCTGAGCACCAGTAAGTGCGAAACTCGAGTCTATTCTTTCCGAATATGCAGTTGACTGGATGAACTGAGGATAGTGCGTGAAGGTGTAGTCTGAAGGATGATCAGTCCAAACCAGGATCATTTGTCGCACTCCACTACTCACAAGTAACCGTGAGCAGAATGCGAATTAATAATCCGGGTTTGTGAAAAGTCAGCCCTAACCTGTATGCATACCACCACGCAGATTCGTAATCGGAATCACACTGGGAGTCGGCTTCTGCAAAATACGCGAGATCACAGGTGAGGAAGACAAAGCGGTAAAAGTAGCTGTTGGGTTAGTGGAAGAAATCAAACTGGTTAAATAACATGTATTTCAGCCTGTCATGTATGGTATTCTTGCATATGCCGCAGCTAATTCGATTCAGCCGAGTTTTCTGTCCCCCGATCGAGGACCATCGGAAAACTAACGAATGGCTTCTTGGATAGCGTTATCTTGAAGCTTTAGATCGCCACACTGTCCTGCAAAGGAGATGGAATCAGCGGCGAGGTGTGAAAACACCCGACAACTCTCACAACTCATCCGTGTTACAGGCCCCAAACGACAGTGCGTAAGTGAAACAATCCGCGAAGTAGATGACACGCTAATAAACAGTCTGCATCGATGTTTGGAACGCTGGGCAGAGCACTTCACAGTGAAGTTTAACCAACCCCCCGCGCTGGCTTCCCCACTCAGTTCTCTTGACAGTGCCCCCTGGTCAATTTACACGGGACCGCCCACAGAAGCGGAGATCCGAAAGGAACTCCAAGCCCTGAAACGCCACAA